AAATAAAGAAATTTTTTGTGATTAAATGATTAATTAAAGTAAATAGATAATAATAAAATTAAAGTAAACAAATATTTATTTATTTTAAAAAATATAAAAATAACAATTAATTTAAAATAAATTTAAAGTAGAAAAAAATGACATGCATTGCAGGATATAGGAGGCTTCCCAGCAACACGTTGACATGTTAAGAATGAAGACAAGCAGTGCCGGATATGGGACGTACTATGATTTGTTATCATGCGGGGCATATGGTTACGGGAGAATCATTATCTGTCTTATATATGTAATGAACAAGAATACCTTTGTACTTCAATTATAAATAAAAAAATAAAATAAAATATTGCTGGTAAAAAAAACAAAAGGCAAGAATCGATGTCTGAAAGAAGAAAAGCAGTTTCTATCAAAAAAGAAAAAAGAAAAAAAAAAGAAAGAAGAAAAGCAGTGGGGGATAGGAGGAAGTATGGTTTGCTATCACGTGGATCATGTGGCTAGGTTTGCTATCACGTAGATCATGTGGCTAGGTTTGCTACCACGTGGATCATGTGGTTAGGTAGAAATCATTATCTGTTTAAAGGTACTGGAATTGATTAGCACAAATTATTCCTTTTAGTTCTAGCAAAGATCATACCTAACCATATGTTTAAAGAAAAGGATTCATCGGCTGAAAATCTGTTTGAAGCAATCCTAGTAATGTCTTTCTTATGGATAAAGGGCAAGGCTAATGGATTTCACAACTCTCAATCTGATTGGTGTTGGAATCCTAGAGAATGTGCCAAAGGTATTTGATTAGGTGATATTCCGGGCACGTGGGATGGTGGCTGCAAGATTAATGCATATGAAAGAACATTGTGATGTATAAGGACAAGAATAACCCCTGTCCTTTATAAATAAAAGGTTTTGATTGATTCAAGTAAACCCGTTTCCCATTTCCCCCTCCCCGTAGTTCTCTTAGTAATGATAAATTGCCCACGTTTAAAAAAACGTACATACAAAGTAAATTGTTAAAATGTTCATCACCGACATTGGTGATCCACAAGATGTGACATCAAAAACCTAAAAATAATCTACATGCACTAGTAAATTAGAGCCACACAAGAAATTCTGCATGCAAAGTCGGTTAAAATATTGTAAAATATAAAGGGAGTCGACAGAATGTAGTGCACGCCTGCACGGTAAAATCGAAGCTAAGATTTTTTACTTTTTGTAGTAACTATAAATAGAAGGGCTGTGTCCATTGCCTCTTTTCCAAAAATAGAAGGGCTGTGTAGAATGCATGTGATGCATGTGGGAAAGAAAAGTGAGTTAAAAAGAATAGCCTGTGGGGCCGAGTGTGAGAGGAAGAGCGATGTGCAAGTTAACTAAAATTGTCTCCTTGGAAAAGTTCAGACAGTGCCTGCAACTTCGCCTTAATTAAGAATAAGAACACGTTGTATGAAACATGGATGCGCACGTCTTGTGTGTTTAGAAAGGGTGACTTTCGGCATTTTTCGAGTGATGGATTCTAGCATACAATTAGGTTTGGCCGTTTAGGTACCTGGCTAGTTTTATTAGATTAAAATTTTTCTAAAGCATATATGGTCTCATCCATCAGTCTGGTGGTCTCCCGGCCCATAGGCAACTCCATGGTTATTTCTTGAGAAGAAAATTCAGTCATTACTATAATAAAAGAATACAAAGTATTTATCTATGAATTCAAAGTCTTTAATTTCAAAGAAAGACTCGAAGTTAATAAAAGAAATTTTATCCGACATCACTAACAGAATGCCGTTTCTTTCAATGCAAGACGAGCATATAGTAAGCAAAAGAGGTGAAGCAGGATCAAATAAAAGCAAAACCTAATTTCCACTAAATGGTGTTGCCTTGGAAAAGATTAGTCATTGCGTGCAACGCATGGCCTTAAACCGGAATTGGAAGACGTACGACAGACTTTGGCTGCAAAACAAAATACGTTTGCCTCCACTTAGGGTTTGTTTGGTTCGTTGAAAATTATTTTTTTGAAAATTATTTTTTATGAAAATTATTTTCTTTTCTACCATAAAAATTATTTTTTGATATTTAGAACATTTTAATTTTTTTTAATATATTTTTTAAGAAATTATAGAAATATCTTAAAAGTACATTAATTAAAATTTTTATATTAATTGACTATAATGAAATTGAACGTTTTAAATTCTTAAATCTTGATGTTACTTAAATCAATTTATATTTTTAGTTTATGCATAATTATGTCGTATTGATATGATTATACTTGTATATGAGCAAGAGTGCCTGTTGTACTCTACTTAATAAATTGTTGTTAAAAAAATTTAATCTTGAATGAGGTGGTCGATGAGGTGAAACAAAGAAAACAAGAGAGTTTTATCTTTAAGGCGGATTTTGAGAAAGCATATGATTGCGTGGATTGGAACTTTCTGGATTGGATGATGGAACAAATGGGGTTTGGAGTTCTGTGGAGAAAGTGGATTCATGAATGTCTTTCGACGACTCGGATTTCTATTTTAATAAATGCAAGTCCGACAAAGGAGTTCTCGGTTGGCAAAGGTCTTCGTCAAGGTGATCCATTGTCCCCATTTTTGTTTTTGTTAGTAGGTGAAGGGTTGTGTGGTATGGTTCGAAAAGCAGAGGCAGAAGGGCTTTTCAAAGGAGTCAAGATTGGAGAGGGCGGTATGGTCGTGTCTTTATTACAATTTGCAGATGATACTGTGTTTATGGGAAAGGCAGAGGTAGAAAATTTAAGGACAGTGAAGGCTATTCTACACTGGTTTGAATTAATTTCGGGGTTGAAGATCAATTTTTGCAAGAGCCATTTGTATGGGTTTAATGTTACAGAAGGGTGGGTGAATGGTGCAGCTGACATTTTGCATTGCAAGATAGGAACGATGCCTTTTATTTACCTTGGTTTGCCGGTTGGAGGAATTTCGGGGAGGAGAAAGTTTTGGGTTTCTGTATTGGATCGCTTTCGGAATAAGCTTGCCGCCTGGAAACGTTCACTGCTGTCCTTTGGAGGTCGAATTACCTTGCTCAACTCGGTACTTTCTACTCTTCCTATTTTTTACTTGTCATTATTTAAAATTCCAAATTGTGTTCTTGGTGAGATGGTTAAGATTCAGAGGGATTTCTTTTGGGGTGGAACAAATTTGGAGAGGAAAATTGCTTGGGTAAGGTGGGATCATATTTGTGTAGATAAGGAGAGAGGGGGTTTAGGAGTGGATGATTTAAAGAGGAGAAACTGGGCTTTATTGGGTAAGTGGTGGTTTAGGTTAGGCGATGGGGTAGGGGGATTATGGAAGAGAGTGATTTGGGAGAAGTATTACGGGGGTCGACAGGAGGTTGATATTACTTTTTTCAGCTCCTTGCGTATGTCTCGAGTGTGGAAGGACATTGTGGGTGTTGGTAGTGGGTCGGAGAGGTTGAGTTTAATGCTAGGAAAAGGCTTTAAATGGGAGATTGGGAATGGAAGTCGAGTGGCTTTTTGGGATGATAAGTGGGGTGGTGATAAACCTTTAAAGGATTTATTTCCAAGATTGTATGCGTTATCATTGAACAAGGAGGGGATGTTGAAGGATATGGGTTTTTGGAGGGAGGGTATATGGGTATGGGACTGTAAATGGCGACGAAGCTGTTCTGGGAGGGTTGGTGAGGAGAAAGAAAGATTTAGGGAGATTATCAATAGGATCACGGTAAAGGAGAATAAAGATGATTCATGGAGATGGGCTCATAGTACTGATGGAGTTTATTCTGTTAAGGAGGCATATGATTTTTTAGCTCCTAAGGATGATCTTTTGGCTGAGAAATGGGTGAGAATCATTTGGTGTAAATTTGCTCCATCTAAAGTGAGTGTTTTTGGGTGGCGGTTATTTTTGGATAGGTTGGCAACTAAGGATAACCTATTTAAGAGAGGGATCGCACGGCTGGGGGGGGATGTGAGTTGTGGAGTATGTGGGGAAGGCGTAGATCAGGTAAATCATATTTTTTGTGAGTGTAAAGGAGCATGGTTAGTGTGGATGGAGGTGTTGTGATGGTGGGGATTACAGGGTGTTTTGTCGAACAACATTTTCAATTTGGCAGAGTTTGTGACGCATGGTATTAGTGGAGGTCGTTTGGCGGATTTAGGGGCTTTCATTTTTCTGATTGTTGCTTGGTTTATTTGGTTCCGTAGGAGTATGCAGGTGTTTGACACAAAGTTGTTGTCTGCGGAGTTAGTTTTGGAGTATATTCAACATAAATCATTCTTATGGCTTAAAAATAAAGAGAAAGGGAGTGTTTTTTCTTATCAAGAATGGGTCTCCAGTCCGATGGAGTGCAGGGAGGCCATTATCCAGCATCGTAATAATCAGAAACTGTATCACATGCGGCAGCGAGATGTGGGATGATTTTATTGTAATTGTTGCTGATTCTTGTGCTAAATCGTCAACTCCTAGATGCTGGTTCCGGGCTTCATGTGTGATTTCATGTGATTTCTTTTGAACATTTTTCTTGATAGTTGTAATTCCATTTTGGGGTATTTCTCATACTCCTAATTAATATATATCATTTGTTTTGCTGATCAAAAAAAAAA